ACAGAGAAGTATCCCCCCACAAAGTGGATTGATGGCCAGTAAGCATTTCCGTTGCTCAAAATACAAATAAATAAATAAAATGGGAGGTATTTAAGTTTCCTATTATGGCTGCATGCAACAAACAGGTTTCGAGATCCTTCCAGTACCATTATTGTCACAACGCATCCCAAAATCTTTTAGAAACCCCGCCATCGCACAAAAAGAAAATAGGAGCCAAGGCCAGCGTGATGCGGATGCGAGGAAGATTCCGCTTCTCATTTTCATTTTCCGTCTCGGTGCGCAGCAAATTCACAGATCCAGTTCAAACACACAGAGTACAGGGAAATTGAGTGGCGATGCGGGCTCTCCAATGCCATGTCGCAAAAAAAAAAAAAAAAAAAAAAGTAAGAAAATTGCAGTCAATCAAATACGGCCTGCAGACAAAAACCGTTCCGGGATCAAACACCCAACCCCTTTGAAGATCATTCAGAAGAGTCGATCGAAAACATCAATATAGCCGACTTCTCCGCCAGCCACTCAAACGCAGTAGAAGCATTAAGTGTAGGCGCCCTCGCAATAAGTATCGCGTGTCCCCCGCGTTCATAACCCAGAAACCTTTCGCCCCTCTGTGTCCATCTTTTTATTGCGCTTGTCCTCTCAAAAGGGTTTGACGGCCGCTCCGGCCAGCCGCCGGAGAGAAGGCTTTGGCGGGGGGCGCGGAAAGCACACCGCCGTCGCGCGTTTCCCGGGCCAGCGCGGCGGCCCGGCATCCCGCCGCCGCCAAGAATCGTTAAAACGACAGGCCGATAAGCCAATTAATCCATAAATAAAATAAAAAAGGGAGGGGGCGTCCGCCACAAAGAGCCGCGTCGCGTCTGCGAGGGGCTTCCTTCCCTCTCCCCGCGGAAGGGCGCGGTTGGGGGCGGAGAATTTCCAGCTCAAGAAGAAAACGCGCCCACCATTTCGTGAGGCACATCTCCGATTACCCGGCGCCCACGCCATGCTTTTGTCTAATCGCCTGCAGAGCAGCAACGGGGTAGCTGCAGGGTTGTCTCTT